ATATAATCAAACTAGAATGCAATAATTTAAGATACAAATTAAATATGCTTAAAATTATATTAAAATGTCACCCCTACGTCTACCCTGTCAAGTGGTCTTTCCTACCACATTCTGCTGCACCAACTTTGTCCTTATTTCCATCAATTTTACAGTAAATTTGGCAATCCATCTCACCAACTGCAAATTAGTACCTAACAAACAATGTTGCAAAAAGCGCTCTTTAGACTTAGGGGTACTGGTATAAAAGGTCCTACCAAACTGGTATTCCCTCAAATCTGAGTACAGGGGCCAATCAAAAATTACGTGGGATATTGTTTCGACTTCCCCCGTCCCACATAAACAGACTCTTTCACTTGCAGGGATCCCCTTATAACTGCCCCAAAGCATGTGTGTTTGAAGTTGGTCCAATCTCAATTTGGAAAAGAATCTCCTTATGACGGAGATAAAGGCGAAGTTATATATTTTTCTATTTTAAAAATTTGTTTGTTTACTGATAACCAGGGGCAAACTTTTGCTGCTGTCACTTGTGCAATGTCTGATTGTGCACTTATGTCTTTAAATCTCTGTGCAATCCAAGTTCTGATCTGCCTATGATCGTGCTGCTGCCAGTTTAAAGGAATCTATCAGCTAACACTTTCTCCTGTTGTCCCCCCAGGAGAGATGCCTCCCTCGGCCATGACTCCGTCCATTCTTCTTTCTAAAGATGGGAGGTCCAAGCTAATAATTGGAGGCTCAGGAGGGCCCCTCATTATCCCTGCTGTAGCCCAGGTAAGCCATGAAAGCCCACCGCCATGTACAAGAGGCGCCCTTGGAGATGGCCCAGGACTTTCATTAATGAACCCACCACCCACAGAGTCCAGTTCAAAGCCTTCTTCTACAGCTTCCCCTCTGCCCCAACCTGGTTCTTTTCTTCCATTTCTGTGATTTTCTTGGAAGAGGTGTTCTCCTCGGCTGAGATGTGGCCAGAGGAAACCTTCAGAGCAGCCTGGTGGGATTATTTTCCCCACAAAGTGTCAAGTTGTAGTCAAATTTCTATGCAGTCAAATCCCTTTCAATTACAGGAAAATGAAAACTGCTGGGGTGGGGTGGGGGGCGAGAAGCATTTGACCTTCTGTGGCTGGATGGAGCTTTTCATTTCAAGCAAGGAGAGGGCATGGGGCCAAAAACTACCTCAATATAATGCAAATAAATTACATGCACTGAATTGCTCCCCGTGACTATTCCTTGGCTTCCATGACGACACTCCTGGTGGGTTTATCAAATGACTCTCTGTTGCAGGCCATCGTCAATAAGTTGTGGTTTGGGTACGATCTGGATCAAGCCATTGGAGCGCCCATCCTCTCTGCCACCAGAGATGGCTCCATTCAAGTGGAGAAGCACTTTCCACAGGTGAGACGCTGGCGTGCTTCTTGGGTCTTCTCTCTCTCCTGCCTCCTCCTCCCTCCCCTAACTTGGTGGTGAGGATCTTGTGTCCAACACAAGTCTCACAGCAGCAAGGTGGGTGAAAACGGTCGTCTTGGAGAGGAGAACCATCCCTGCCATTATTTGCCAGCCTTGGACAGATTCTTATACCATGAAGGCTGTGCGGGATTCCTTCCCCCATTTCATTGTGGGAGGCCCTTTGTGAGGAGGGGGAGATGCTCATGGAACTTAGCTACTTTGCCAGCTTTCCAATAAACCAAAAGAAATAGAACCTCCCTTCTGCCTGCCCCTGTCCCTCAGCAGGGCATCCTCCTTTCTCCTCTTAGGTTAAAAAGAGAAATGGAAGATCAGCCACTTGTTTTAGGAAGGGTGGGGTGAAAGTGTGGAGGGACAATTGTGACACAGAGGGAAGAGGAGGGCCAGCTGAAGACTTGGATGAAGAGGTTTTCCGAATAGCTCCCTTGTCTATTCCTTGGATGGAAAAGTCCCCGATAATTCAGAAACTTAGGTTGAGGTACTTTGGGCAGCTCTGCACAGGCTCTTCCTGTCTTGGAATTCCTTGTCCAGCTGATCTTCCCAGGCTCAGATATTAGACTCTCCACTGTCTCTGAAGACCTCCAACAAAACAGCATTTACCACTTCATGGGGCAGCCTGTTCCACTGGCTTATGGCTTGTCAGGAAGCTCCTACTATGCCTGGCCTGAGCCTGCTAAGTTTTAGTCCCTGCCTCTGGTCCTGCCCTGTGGGTCGATAGAGAGAACCGTTCTGCACCTGCCTGGGAATGGCCAGGCAGCCTCCTCCTGGAGGGTCCTCCAGGCTGCCTCTTCCCACTGCCCAGGCTCCCTTCCTAACATGATGGCCCACACAGCAGTGCAGGCAGCCTTTGAAGGGGGTGTGTGGGGCTTACTGTTGCCTTTTTTCCTCTGCAGAATCTCACAAGGGCTTTGATCTCCATGGGGCACTCAGTCCATCCTGCAGAGCATGACATGAATGTGGTGCAGGGCATCTCCCAGGAGGGTTTCTGCATCTTCCCTTATTCTGATCGGAGGAAGCAGGGAGAAGCCTCCGGCTACTAGAAGCCGGGAGAAGCTCTGCTAAACTCTGCAGCAACCTGCTCTCCTTCTCGGTCAGGCCTCCGCAGAGGCTGCTGCAAGGAACTTTGGATGCATTCCTATGCAAACCACACACACACACACACACACACACACACACACACACACACGGGCCAAATGGAGGTCTACATTTCTCCTCCATCAGGCCTAACTTCTTGCTGCAACTGGAGTTTATATCCACACATGGGCGAGAGATTCGTCCTGTAGAAAATCTGAGCCACAACTCTTGTCTCCCGTGAGTCCAGAATGTGAGGAAAAGGTCTGTTGGGCTAAGCCTTCTTGGAGTAGTCGCTTCTCTGTCCTGAGATGATGTCCTCTGTCTGCGGCTGATGGAAGCCGGGGATGCCCAGTGAGAAAGACCGAGACTGGCATGACGGAGGCTTTGGTCTTTGGAAGGAACCCAGGATTCTCCTGCAAATCCCCTTTGGTGCTACAAAGAGAGTTATCCAAAGAGAGCAGATTCGCTGCAGCCGGTGGGACGGGAGTCCTTCCAAGCTCAAGGCTTTGGACGAAGCTTTTGCCTGGCAAGGAAATGAGCCAGGGGACTGGGGCAACCATCTCCCCCAAGAGTTGAGTAGGGCCTGCTGCCAAAGCTGTGGAGAAGTTTGAAAGCCCCTTGGAACACGGGAGCCATTAACCTTGGATGCAGTTGCCTTTTGTTTCAGGCTGGGGGAGGTGGAGGTGGCTGGGTGCCCTGAGCTTTGCCCTCCACCTACCCTGGACACCTTAGAGCCAAAGCCACAGCAGGAGCTTTTCCTGTTTTTCTTTCTAAAAGTGAAAGAGACAGTCTGTTGTGTTCCCACCTGCTGATTGTTACTGTGATGGGGGGGTAGGGAGGGGGTAGGCAAGGAATGGGGGAATTCCACTAGGAATGGGAGAGACATTCTGGATTATGACCTTTTTAAAAAATGTATTTCTTCATGCACACATTTGTTCTATAGAAAGTTTAAAGTATATTTTCACAAATTATTTGTGGGTCTGTTTCTTTTCAAATCTCATGGCTTTGCTTTTTCTTTTCAAAGCCTCCCAACACAAAGACATATGGTTTTAGGTTGAGATTTGTTTCTGGAGGGTTTTTAAGGATTGCAATTTTTTCCCACTTTCTTTGGTCACAGCGCCTTTTGACAAGCCCATTCCAACCACCCTCCCCTTCCAGAGGAGCAACATAGGCAGCTTTCCCTTCGGCCCCTTTTGGCAGGCGATCCGGTGCTTGTCCTTCTCAGTGGGACACCAATGGGTGTGTGTGTGTGTATGTGTGCAATGGGCAACTCACCCTCTGGGGCTCCAGTGGGCCAGCCTGTTCATTGTCTTGGTTCCACACACACCTCTACCCATTTTTGTGCTGGAGTGCACTCACTTTCTTTATTGGTTTCCTTGATCCCAAAATGGGTGCTGAGCTTCCAGAAAGCCCAGTTTCTAGAAGACCGCCCATCTTGATGCCGAAGGAATGAATGGAGACCATGAAAAACCCTGTCATCAAAAGAAACTGATTACTGTATACTGCACAGCCGCATAATTTCTGGTCTCTTTCAGATAACTGAAGAAACTTCCCTTGTTTTATTGTCCCAACCAAATTCCATGGATTTGGATTATCTTCAGCAAGTTTTCCTCTAAAGAAAATCTCTGAATTAACCTCACCTCATTTTTAATGGGAAGGATTATAATTAAATATGAGCCACATTATATGAAAAATAAATCATAGTGTCAATGCTTCCATCTTTAGTCAAAGAAATGATCACTTCTCTCAAATGGAGTCAAGAGTCCTCCTTTCCTAATGACTTAGCTAGGGCAAGACTGACACAGAATAGAATAGAATAGAATAGAATAGAATAGAATAGAATAGAATAGAATAGAATAGAATAGAATAGAATAGAATA